AGTTTCGTCTGCAACTCGATCTGAAAATCCATCTTCCGTTCCTGGTTTTGCGTGACAACGTCGCGCAGCTACTTATTGACTAAGATCAGACTATGAAAAAACTATTACTCCGGTCTTATTATTAAATGATGATTTCTCTAGTTTATATCCTACATAATCTATTTCATTCAATTAGGGTAAATGAAAATCGTATCTAGGGAGATGCTTTTAGCCTTTGTGAGTATAATAATCATTTTAATCTCATATGCATTAGATTCATATAAATGTGAGGTATTTAACTGCCTTAACTAATGACATTCTGAATTTTTATCAATTATGTGAATTTTGTAATTATTCAATTAAGATATGAATTTACTGTAGTTTTAACAAAATATAAATTTGGTTTTATTTTATACAAAATAGAAAGATATTATAGTTTGCCATTTAAAACATTGTTCCTGTGAAAAAGGTTTAGCCATTTAAAAAAGAATGTTACTAAATTATATCAATGATGTTAACACTAAGTATATGTTTTTAGTAAAATTAGGATTATGGAACTCTTACATATGAGACAAAAAGAATGCACGTCTATACAATGTCCGGTTGAAAAACCAATGAAATTCGCGAGATGATTGGTATCTGCAACTATTATCGTCGCTATCGTCATATGTAGTTACGTATGCATATACATATTACCGGTACTCCGCCACGCAATATTAAAAATTGATATACTGGATCGTCCGGATAATTAGGTTATAGTTATTGTATGGGTTGTAAAAAATAACTTTATTATTGCTCGATCAGAGCTTTATTAATATAAATATCGATGAAATAACATATGGGGATAGGTTCGCTATATCAGTCAGTACTAATACTAATTTACTCATATATGTAACAAGACTATAATAGGTATCAGGTTAGAGTTTCTCTTCTTGAGAATCACATAGCTATGGCGAGGATCGGTCGAGGAATGGAATGGTGCCTGGTGTATTCGCCTAGTGGTGGGTCTAACGTAGAGCAAGTCCTGGTCCTGAAAGTAAAATCCTAGTATATCTATTGCAATCTCGGCTTAAAATATCTGAAAAAAGGGGGTCCTTGCACTGTTAATGCAGCCGCGGAGCCCATACAGCAACTTACCTGCTTAACGATTGGCAATTCGGGTCCTTGCACTGCCCTTGCAGCCGTGGAGCCTATCAATATAAGTCCTTGCACTGCCTTTGCAGTCGCGGAGCTTATGAAAAACATATTTCTTTTCCCTAGGAAAGGGTGGGTAGGGAGGGTAACGGAGCCAGCCCTAACTACTGGGCGAGCAATAGCGAACTGAAAGATGACAATTCCTCCTCTAAGGGTCAACCCTTAAATAAACATCCTTAAACTGATTATCGACCTTCCCTGCCCTACGCCATGATTCTCATGTAAACTCCATAACATTTCCTTAGCCTTAAAAATTACCACTTATTCTCAATTCATGGAAAACCACAAATAAATTTATCATATGTCATCCCGGTACTAATCTTGGATCAACAAGATAATAAATAAAACCATTAAACATAAAAGGATGCACATTTACATATGTATGATTTACGCCTAAGTCACCTGATCTCGCAATAATAATCGCTTCATCACTTCGTTGACAAGCTTTCCATTATTATTGCTCGATCAGAGCTTTATTAATATAAATATCGATGAAATAACATATGGAGATAAAAAGAGGATCGCTCTCAATAAAAACCTATCTTTTTAAAAATCCGTAATTTACCAGTTCCAACTGTTCTTAGGTATAACATTACTGCCTTACTATCCCAGCCACCTATAGTTTGGATTTGTGTAAGGGATAAGCCTGCCTCCATAGCAGCTGTAGCCCCACCAATTCTGATGCTATGTGCAGTAAAATGATCATCAACACCTGCATGTTTAGCGATTCATTTAACAATAGAGCCTATGGCCCCAACTGAAAGTTGGTTTTTTTCTTTCGACAAAAAGAGGGGTTTATTATTTGTAGTACTTGGCCTAATACGTAGGTATCTAATCAGTAACTTAGCTGGGCAGTAGCGGCTATCTGAGTATTCAATTGGAATAAATTTCCCATTCGCAAACTGATCAGTTTTAGATGAACTTATTTGAATCCAGCACATTTTCTTTCTGATCTTAATATCCTTACATCTTATTTTACATAATTCACCCGGGTGACGCATAGTTCTAAGTCCTATAGCCACCAAAGCTGAATCACGAACCCAGAACTCCTCACTAATGTATGGTGGTTTATTATCAATAAAGTGTTTTAGGGCATTAACTGGAAGGGGATCACATGGCCACTCTGGTTCTCTATCTTTTCTATGTTCCTTTAAGAGTGCCTTAAAAACTTTCCTAACCTTATAATCCTTAGTAAGATCTAATAGTTGTGCTTCTAAATGTTCTCTTGAAACTGCGGCCAGAACATCCGTACAATTTGAAAAAGAATGTGTAGGTTGAGTCAAACCATAAAGGAAACTAGTGTATCTACTTTAGATGGCAGTGCCTCTAAACCCATAACCTTACAATAATTATAATATAAACCCTAAGTTTTATCTAGACGTTGGTTCCAGCCATGTGAAACTGAATTCTTGCGTAAGTCATAAGCTCTAGCAAGTAACATATCAATTAACCTATCCTTACTGCTAGAAACTGCCAACTGGGGTTCTTTCATGGTTCTACCTTGCCTGAAAACCCCTTCACAAATGTCATTCAGGAGGATGGTAGAACTAGCATATCTGTTTGATTGTGCACTAGAGTTGGCCACCATTTTGCAAAGACCCATCTGGGAACAATTACTGTTGCTACAGCTTTTTCCTCTATAATATGCTGTAGAACACAGTGAACCAAGGCCAAAGGAGGGCACACAAAGTTGTTTTCTCTGCACCAGCTCTGGGCAAAGCAGTTTATTCCCTCGGAATTGGGGCAATAAAAGTGACTGTTGAAGCAAGAAAGCTTTGCATTTTGATGGTCTGCCATTCGGTCTATTGTATGAGGCCCCCACCTTTCCTCTATAATTTTGAAAACTGATTGTTTTAGACACCAATCGTTTGGGTCTACATACCTGGTTAATAAATCTACTAAGTTTAACTCTGATGGGATCCAAAAAACTTCGCTAATCTAAATGTCGAACCTGCCAACTGTTCTCATAGCCTCCTTAACAAGTCCTTCTGCCATATTAGTTTGCCTCCCTTCACTACTGTGCTGATTGCTCTCTGATTGTCAATGTGTAGGTCTATCCAGGAGTGTTCTAGAAGTTTTACAAAGGACCTTATTGCAAATATCATTGCCTCTGCTTCTAGTTTGGTAATCTCTTGGTGTGATCTTCTTGAGCTCCAATTCCTGAAAACCTTGTGTTTTTTGTATATTGCTGACCAGCCTACTGTTGAAGCATCGATAAAAACTTGCTTGACCCTTGATGGTTTCCAGGCTAGGCAGCCATTTTGTCTTTTCAAATTTTGAGCCACCCACTTGGCATCTTCTCGTGCTTGTTCCATCAAATGAACTGGGGAGTCCCATTGCTATACACTTCTCTTGGCTGCATCTATAATCATATAGAACTCTAAACAATGAACCTTGGCATGGGCAAATGCCCTGTTTAATGATTGAACTTTTCCTGCTATAGCAGCTAACTTCTTTGCTGAAACCCTTTTCTTGTTTGCTAGTTCGTTTAATAGCACTCCTGTTTCTGCAATTTTGTCTTCTGGAACTATTACTTGTGCTTTCACCGTATCTATCAACAACCCAAAAAACCTTATCTGTTGCATCAGAATCCACTGACCCTTTGATATCTCCCTTACTAAACCACATCTCTTCATATCTACCTTTATTACTTGATCTCTTATAGATATCAATGTATCTAATGAAGAGTGCACTAACCAGAAATCATCCAAATAGTTCCTACAATACAACCCTAGTGACCTCCAATGACACACTATTGATCTCATGATCTTTGAGAAGACCCAAACAGCTTGTGACAACCCGAAAGAAAGTACCCGGTAGTAATACCAATTGTTTATTACTCTGAAACCTAGAAAGCATTGTGCATCTTCTCTCATTATAATGTGGTGGTAGCCTTCCTTTAGATCCCATGTGATTATATACCATCCCTTTCCTATCATCCGAAGTAAGCCACCCAAACCTTCTAAATGCATTTTTTTCTCTGATAGAATGGAAATTAACCTTCTTAGATCGATTACCATTCTCCATTTCTGTGCACCCTTCTTGGAAACTAGAAAAACTGGGCTTATTTCTAATAGGAACTCGGGCCTCTCTTTTTGATTCTCTAGGCAACTGATTGCTGAAGTTTTTAATAACCGATTTGTCTCCTCTACTACCCACTCCCTTTGCTCTGCTGACAGTGAATATTGGTTTGGAACTGGTTGAACTGCAAGCACCAAAACACCTCTTGAAAAAAGAGGGATGCCATTTACTAACCAATCCATGACTACTGGAGGAGGACCTATTTTGTGTCTCTAATAGTTTAATGCTTCTGTAGTCTGTATTTTCCCAATGACTGATTCTGTTACTAATATACCTGTTGACTCCATAGGAATTGTATATTCTTTTAAAGAGGGGGCCTGAGTGTAGTCAATTAATGTTTTTAGGTTTGCTAGGGGCCTTTGAACTTGTGAAGGAACAATTAGAGGCAATATGACCAATACCTCTGCAGTTGAAGCATGTAACTGACTGTCTTGACCAACCAAATTCTCCTCTACCACGAAAGGAGTGAATCATTTTTCCCTTTCTTTTACTTCTTCTATATAATTCGTCTCCTTCTGAGTCAGATGATGATGGTGATTGACGGTCCTTACTTCTCTTCCGTTTATGCTGATTATTTCTAGCTTTATCGCTATACTTCCACCTACTAAAACATGAGTCTAACCAAGAATTGCTGAATATCAGAATATGATCTTTATACTTTTCCATCATTCTATCACTACTTCCTACAATTTGCAAGGCAGTTCTCCAGCCCTTGTTATCAGCTAATCTCAAAGTGACTGCATGGGTCTCTATTTCCTCTCTAATTCCAATAAACTCCTTTCTAGCAGAAACTTGCAACACTTTAATTGCTCTATCTAGACATTTGCCTATCTTTGCTAAAAAATCATATTCATGTTGATTATGTGGTTTAGACAACTTAATACTTGGCCATGCTTCATCTAACAATTCTCCTTCTTCCATCTCCCTTTGTAAAGCAGAGAAATTTTTATCTATCTTCTTTTCCATTTTGCTCAAAGCAAACATAAAAATGTCAACTGAAAATGGTTCAACTCTGTCTTTCTCCTGAGAACGTGCAGCAAACTCATCTCTAACACTGCAATCAGCTTCCTGAGAGCCATCCTTTAGATAGTCGCCTTCTAAGTCAATTACTGGGTTATTCGCAAAGGTTCTTCCATTAAAACCATCCATATCTTCCTCCGGAAATTCTCTTGTTTTGACCTCATTTTCTTGAAGTTTTTCTGGCAACTTTCCTTTCCTTTTCTCAAAGTATCCCTGCAATCTATCGCTTAACTCTTCCTTGTTACCTCCTGTAGAAAACCCACATGTTTCGCATAGGTCTTGTAATTCTTTAACAGTTAACTTTGTCCAACTAACGAAAGACATTAGAGCGAATGTTATATGATTATCTGAGTATCAAAGTTTTTTTTTTTTTATTTATTATTGATAAATTTTATTTTATTTATTTATTCTTTATTTTTTATTTTAATACAGTTAAGCGAAAGGTATATAATGATAAAAAACGACGGAGCCAGCCCTAACTACTGGGCGAGCAATAGCGAACTGAAAGATGACAATTCCTCCTCTAAGGGTCAACCCTTAAATAAACATCCTTAAACTGATTATCGACCTTCCCTGCCCTACGCCATGATTCTCATGTAAACTCCATAACATTTCCTTAGCCTTAAAAATTACCACTTATTCTCAATTCATGGAAAACCACAAATAAATTTATCATATGTCATCCCGGTACTAATCTTGGATCAACAAGATAATAAATAAAACCATTAAACATAAAAGGATGCACATTTACATATGTATGATTTACGCCTAAGTCACCTGATCTCGCAATAATGATCGCTTCGTCACTTCGTTGACAAGCTTTCCAAAATTTGCACGGGTTGACGTTACATGGCCGAAGGCCATGTAACTCCGTGCAAATTTAGTTTATTTTATAACCCGTATAATAACTATTTTATTGCACGGTGTCTGACGTACAATCCCGTGCCAATAAGTAAATGAAAAAAGCACGGGTTGTTACATAAGATCCGTGCAATAAATCGGAATTACAGTATGATCGAACTATAACAATATATCTTGCCAAAAAGATACAAAGTCCGTTACAAGCACATTTTTTATAATGTAAACTGTTACTTCACTATTTTGCAAGATAAAGCTATTATATAAATTAAAACCTAAACAAACTATTGGATATATGAATCTTCTACTCTAACGAATACTTTCACCAGTATATAAGTATTGAGAGCTAGTAAAACCTAAGATCACTTTGGAAAACGTGATAATCAGTAAACATTAATATTAAGGATAGATACTTTAAAACGAGTCATAATTTCAAGAAAAATCAATAACACGATGCACCTTATCCAACTAAAGGGAACAAATTTATTTTTAAAGAAATGAGACATTGCATTTACATAATTAGTAAAGCAAGAACCCCACATAGTTTGAGAAATAGAAACATGAATTGTTCTGTAGCCTTTAAGTTAAAAACTCATTCAATTGACAATTTGTCAAAAAAAAACGTCAAACAATCAGATTAGCGATTGAAGAAAAAATTTTTTAGAATGTCGAAAGCAAAAGCATGTAAGATTGTATAAACGTTATAAAACATATAAAATATTTTGGTTTATTTATAGCTTTTTTCACAAAGGTGTAACTAGGTGCGCACTATTATTTTGTAGGAAATCGCACGATGTCCCAATTTTCCTGATTCTGAGAATAAGGGAAATCAATGCGAATCAAGGGAATCATGTAGATTTCCCATGACATAAACGGTGCACACCTTTTTGAAAACAACTGTAATCGAAAAAAGCTTAATTAGTAATTCAAATACAAATCAGAAAAAACATATAATAAAATTTACTATTGTTTAAAAATCCGTATTTCCAAAAAAGTAATAAGAGAAACGTATAATTACAAAGATTAAAATACTTATAACTCATAATCTATTAATTACTATTATAATTAAATTTTTCTATACTTTTTTAAAATTAAAAATAAGATTTATTTTGTAAAAAAATTATTCAACATATCAGAATTACGAATAATTTATACAGTCTCAACCTTTTCTATAGTGAACTAACTGTAAAGACAGGTTTGTTAAGTTTTGAGTTCGTTGTATGTATTATTATTATTTTTTTAAATCGACAAAATCTTTTAAAATTTTAAGAAATCATCCGGATTATCATCCAGATGGCAAAATTTTTACCGATTAATTTATATAATGTACGTCAATTTTGTTTGATGCCACCGTTTCACAGGAAAATTTGCCTGCGAGTGGCATTTTCTCGGCAATTATAATCTAAGAGCATATGGCATCATAAGAAGACTAAATCGTTTTGTTCGGAAGTCTTCGGAAAATGTTATTCGTTTTTAGCACACGGTCTATCTATCCTTTTATTTTTAAGGGTCCTTTAAGAATCTCATCTCATTCTTGTACTACCTCAAAATGTCCGATATGTCTAAACATTATAATCTTTGGGAGTATTTGTATTGCCGACATAACGGCAGAACTTTTTAGGGCAGGACGGTGAATACTTCAATTCCAATATCAATTGACCAATCAAAACTTGTATCTGGCGCTAGACGCGAGTTCTGATTGATCACGGAATAAAATGGAATGGAAGTCCCCGTTTTAGGGTAATATCAGTCAACACCACAGTTTCTACGTATATAGCTAATTAATCAATGATAAATGTACTAAGTAGAGACCTTATTCTAAATTAAGAAATCAGAATCTGATATTGATCCGAAGCATTATTATATATATATATATATTTAGTAACAGTATACCCTGAATAATTATAATTGTATCATGTAGAAACTTATCTATGCGATCTAAGGATTGGAAACTTTTACTGGAAAACAAACATTCGATATGGAAAAAAAATCGAAGGCACTTTTAAGAAATAAAATACTTAAATAAGTTTATTTCTATAAAATAAAAAGCAACTTCATTCCCTTTTTTTATAACGACCCTTTAATGTTATTCCTTAGCGAAGTTAATGTTAATTTATTTTATTTATTCCACGGCTTGTGTTCTCTTCATTATTTAATATGACTTTCAGTAAATATATAACTTTATATGCGAATTAGTAAATTATACGTATTTCACTTTTTAGATACAAAATTAAATAAGGCTTAACATGATTTACTGTAATCTGAAACGCATAAACTGCAACAACTTAATCGTAATTATCTATGTAATAATTGTAAACATAAATGCACGAAAAAAAACACTTGTATATGAGAATAATATGTTCGGTTGTTATTACACAAATCCGCAATATTAATAGCTGAAATCAAGATATTGACAATTTAATTAAGGAAACGCAAAATAATCAACCGAAATTTAGATTAGAATGGATCCCATTTGAGGACTTTACTGATATAAAACCAATTGGAGAGGACGGCCTTAGTGAAATTCATACAGACACATGGACAAAAGGTGCAATAAAAAGTTGGGATAGAATAGAAAATAGATTCAATCGAAATGAAAATCAAACTGTTGTATTAAAAGTTCTAAAGAATTACTAAAATATTAATTCGACATTCTTAAAAGAGGTAATAATATATAAACTTTATCTTAACTATTAATAGATTACTCTAAAATTTTTCATTTTTTTCGCAGTTACAAAATATTGTTAAAAGTCATACATGCGCCATATTATTCAATGTTATGGTGTATCACAATTTTCAATAACAAATGATTAGATTTTGTTATTTCTTATATGTCTATGGAAAGTGAACGAGACTTTCTTAGGGATATCGTTACAGGCATTAAATGGATTCATAAAAATAAAATTATCCACCGTGATATACACGGTGGAAATATATTAATAAATAATTTGAAAAGCAATGGTTCTGATTCTAAAACCTTAATTGCTGATTTAAGGTTTGGTCGTCCACCAAAAGATGATGTGGAAAGCTCAGAATATAATATATACGCCATATATTGCACTTGAAGTGCTTAACAAAAAGCAATATTCATTTAGTTTCGATATTTACGGTTTCGAATGATTATGTGGGAACTTAATGGTGGATATTGCCCGTTCTATGATAGGCCATATGACTCACATCTTGCGCTTGATGAATTACGATCAAATATTACTTAAGATTTGTGGGGCATTTTAATGCAAAAATGTCGGTATTCGGTTCCCTCAAAAAGGCAAACCATTGATAAAATATATGTTGAAGTAGATACTAGATATTGGAATGAAAATGTAAGTTTTCTGAAAAAAGCTGAAAATTAACGACGAGAATTCCTTAATTCCGGGAAATTAACTGCTAAATATATGAATACTCATTCTAAAACTCACAGCCAATTATTAAATCCTACTATAGATCCCATGTTTTTATATTTACTTTAAGGTTCTAAGTCTTTTACATTGCGTTCTATAAATTCTTTTCAATAATTTTAAAAAATTCATATTAATATAGGTCCGAATTTCAGCATCAGTCGTTTTTATCATCAGCCGTGGCATTAATTTTACTATATTTGATCGATTATAAATCAATAATACGACAATTATTTCATTAAAATTAGCCCTGAGATTTAGGGACAGATATCAAAGAGCATCAGCAAATAATTACAGGTAATAATAATATTTGTATTAAAGCTTTAATGATGAAATGATCGAAAAACATTTTTAACAATACAGTAATAAATTTGGTTAAATGTTTAGATAAGTTTATTTTATACAAATAATAGATAAGCACTAATAAAAGAAAACAGAATTTCAGGCTTTGAATTTTCAAGGCCAAATTGATTTATTATTAGCTCAAAGTTTATTTAATAATACTCAAATACAAATGAAAGGCTATTGCTTTGTTTATCGTTTTTGAACATTTTATATAAGCCACATGCTGTGTTTAATAGCCACACGTAAAATATTTTGATTCATCAGTCTTTCCAAAGACTTAGAGGATTTGACCTTCGCAGTGCTTGACTTTCTCCAAGGGTTTTAGCCTTGCTAGGTGTTTTGCCGAGTTTCGTCTTAGTTATTCCAATTGTGACTTTTTCCAGGTTTAGTGCTGACTTTTGCCATTTACTTAAAAAATAATTTTGCCAAACAACAGTACCTCCGACTATAATACTCATATATACAACTTAATTGTAAAGTACCTCGAGTATTTTAGTTCACGTTGTACGGTACATGATTTACACTAACTGTGCGTTTACATTTAAAATTGCAATATTTTAATATTTGAATGACTAGATTTTATAATAAATTTAATATAATTCTGACAAACATTCAATTCTCTCAGTGTAGTGTTCTTGCACAGTGCATATTCTAATGCTTTTCCTCCTTCTGATCCGAGTTTATTGTCATAAAGATCCAAAGAAATCAGTGTAATGTTCATACAAAGTGCACCTGCTAATGCTTTTCCACCCTCTGATCCAAGGTTATTCCAACCAAGAATCAAAGAAGTTAAGGTAGTGTTCTTGCAAAGAGCATCTGCAAATGCTTTTCCTACTTCCGATCCAAATTGATTCCAACGAAGACGTAAAGACGTTAACGTAGTGTTCTTGCAAAGAGCGTCAGCTAATGCTTTGCCTCCTTCTAATCCAAGATTATTATCACTAAGACCCAAATCTTTCAATGTGGTGTTCTTACAAAGTGCATTAGCTATTGCTTTTCCTCCTTCGGATCTAAGATTATTTCTATAAAGATCCAAAGAAGTCAACGTGGTATTCTTGCAAAGTGCATTTGCTAATGTTTTTCCAATATTAGATTCAAGGTTATTATTGCTAAGAACCAAAGAAGTCAGCGTGATGTTACTGCAAAGCACATCAATTATCGCTTTTCCTCCTCCTGGTCCAAGATAATTATGATTTAGATACAAAGTAGTTAGCGTGGTGTTCTTGCAAAGTGTATTTGCTAACGCTTTTCCTCCTTCCGATCCAAGATGATTATCACTAAAATTCAAAGAAGTTAACGTGGTGTTCTTACAAAGAGCATATGCTAATGCTTTTCCAACATCTGATTCAAGATTATTCGATCGAAGATCTAAAGAAACCAACGTAGAGTTATCGCAAAGTGCATTTACTAATGCTTTTCCTCCTTCTGATCCAAGTTTATTATTATAAATATTCAAATTTTTTAGCGTGATTTTCTTACAAAGTGCATCTGCTAATGCCTTGCCTCCCTCTGGTCCTAAATTATTCTTATTAAGAATCAAAGAAGTCAACGGGATATTCTTACAAAGTGCATCTGCTAATGCTATTCCTCCTTCTGATCCAAGGTTATTATGTTGGAGATTCAAAAAACACAGTGTGGTATTCTTGCAAAGTGTATCTATTAACGCTTTATTAATAGTATATTCAAGAGTTAAAAATTTAAGGTTTTTACTTGCTCGCAGAAACATTACAACTAAAGTGCATTTGATAGCATCTGAAATTGTATCTTTTGAAATTATATCTTCTTCGAAATAATCTACAATATATCCTTCGTTATTAAGCCAATTGGTGACTCCATCATCCAAATAAGAACCAACAGATGTAGTATAACTTTCGTACTGAAATGATGGTCTTGGATAATTTGGAAGAATAATTCTAAAGGGGATCAATAAAGCTTGCTCTTCGATATTTAATGCAGAAAGATATATTCTTATAAGCTTTTTATTACAGAAATAATTTGTAGGTTCACTCCATAATATTGGTATAATAATTCTACACCATTGACGGTTTACAAGAAGGCATGAATATAAACTTTTATGATCAGTTCGAAAATTATTAAATATTTCAAAAAGGCATTCGATCGGTAACATTATCATTTTGAAACAACTATATGAATTTAGAATAACGGTAAGAAATAGATTTTTCCTCCGGTATATAATCAATGAAGATGTTGTGAAACGTTGTAATCATTAACCGTAGCTGTCGCAACAAAATTTTCCCGCAGGCCTAAATTTTGATTGGTTAACGGCTGTGGATCTGCAAAATTTTGATTCACATTACATAATTGTTTCCTAATTTCTGGCCGAAAATAACCTTTTTAACCTTTTCATTTCAAAAATAGAAAATTTCAAGAAATAGGCCCACGCTATAATAATATTAACCCAGGAACGATTTTCACTTGATGTGCAGCTGTGATTTTTTTAGTAAAATTTCGAGTAATTCCGGCCAATTTTTTAATCGTCGCTCTTAACCGATCAAAATCGAAAATCTGCCGGGACAATTTTGTTGCGGTAGTTAGGACAACTATGGGGACAACTATAGGACAACTACAAGTTTTTTAAAATATTTTATTGAAAGTTAACTAAGGATTAATAGTAAAACTACAGGATAGCTATGGGACAACTATAGGACAATTCTTTAATATAGCCCATTATTCAAATATGTATAAAACATGATTTTGTATAAATAAATTTTTTGTTTGTGCTTTCATGCATAAATGCAATAGTAACAATATAATGATTAATAACATTAATCTTCAAGCAAAATATCCTACTTAATTATACTTTAAATTTTTTTTAAAATATTAAAGGTGAGAGGATATGCTTAGGTGTATCAAAAAAGTTCGGTGCAGAAGTATCAAAAAAAATGGTTTGTATCTGTGTCAAGTTATGATTGGCCTTTATCGAAGTCTGCGTCAGGTGATAGGTTCGAAAAATGACTTAAGTGAAGATGGGATTTGACTTTCGGTAGTACTTTCGACCTTCGGTAAGACTTTCGATTTCAGCATGACTTTCGGCATGTCAAAATACTTTCGGAGCCATCCTTACCCGAGTTGTGACCACTTGGGGCCAATCTCTAACTTTAAACAACAAGCGTCACCTCAGAACAAGTCTTTTTCCAGTTAAACGATTTCAAAGAAAGGAACAAGCTGGATGAAGAGCAATTCATTGCTTATAAATTTGGATCCGTAAAGAAGTATGCTAAAGTATCCTTAAAAACGGAACAATAAACAACAAATAAATAAATAAGCTCTCTATGCATTTATTATGTATATTGAATTTGCAAACGCTGCAGTTTCGAAGATAATTAAATTTTTTTTTATTAAAAATTTAATTTTTGTTTAAACTATAAAGTGCTAATTCTATTTTTAAAACTTAAGAAGTATAGAAAAATAAAGTGTACAAGTGAATGGTAATCACGAAATATAATAATGTACTTTTAATTACTAACGCTAATTACGCCAAGAAAGATGAAATGAGGTTAAATTGATTAATTGTTACATAAATGAACCTTATCTTAATCACGTGTTTTTACTCAAATTTCGGTGATCATAGGACCGGTTTCAGGATAGAAACCAGACCGAAAAGCAATAATAGACTGGTCTTATTAGGGACTTATCCATCCCTATTTCAAACCATATAATAGTCCTGTATTATTCTAATACTTGGATTATTAGATTTTATAATAAAATTAATATTATTCTGAGAAACATTCAATTCCTTTAACGTAGTATTCTTGCAAAGTGCGTCTGCTAAAGCTTTACCTCCTTCAAATCCAATTTTATTATCGTAAAGGTCTAAAGAAATCAGTGTGATGTTTTTGCAAAGTGCATCTGCTAAAGCTATTCCTCCCCTTAATCCAAGGTTATTCCAACCAAGAACTAAAGAAATTAAAGTGGTGTTCCTGCAAAGAGCATCTGCTAATGCTTCTCCTACTTCTGATCCAAGTTGATTCCAACGAAGACGTAAAGAAGTCAGCGTAGAATTCTTGCAAAGTGTGTCTGCTAATGCTTTGCCACCTTCTGATCCAATATTGTTATCACTAAGGCTCAACTCTTTTAGTGCAATGTTCTTGCAAAGTCCATTAGCTAATGCTTTCCCTCCTTCTGATCTAAGGTTATTCCGGTAAAGATCCAAAATAGTCAGTGTGGTATTCTTACAAAGTGCATTTGCTAGTTTTTTTCCGACGCTTGGTCCAAGGTTATTATTGCTAAGAACTAAAGAAGTCAACGTGTTGTTTCTGCAAAGTACATCAGCTAATGCATTTCCTCCTTCTGATCCAAGATAATTAAAGTTAAGATCCAAAGAAGTTAGTGTGGTGTTCTTGCCAAGTGCATCTGCTAACGCTTTTCCTCCTTCTGAACTAAGATGATTATCACCAAGATTCAAAGAAGTAAGCGTGGAGTTCTTGGAAAGTGCATATGCTAATGCTTTT